AGTACAGGATATTCACCGAACAAGTTAATGCTTGGACGAGAAATCGAGATGCCTGTTGATGTTATGTTTGGCAAACCAGAGTCATCAACTCATCCTTGTTACACTGAATTTGTCGAATGGTTTTCCTGTGCAACTGAAAAAGCTTTTCTTCATGCTAGGCAACATCTAAATGCTGCTGCAACCAGACAAAAGCGAAATTTTGATCTGGGTGTTAAACCACTTACTTTCCAGAGAGATGAATTGGTGTGGTATTATTATCCACCTAAGCATCGCAAGCTGAGTATTCCTTGGATTGGACCTTATCGAATTGTGGATTGTTTACCTAATCACTTGTATAGGATTCAGAAGAATTCGGGGACACGTTCTGGAGTTGTACATGTTGACAAGTTAAGACCTTACCTTCATGAAGATGAAGAAGACAACGACATTGACTTAACCGGATTTGACATTTTACCTGATGTGGAACCTATTATGGAAAATAATGAGCAGGCTGCTCATGATATTTTTGATGTATTACCTTTCTCTTTAAGGCCAGACACTGTACCAGAAGAAGTTACAGTTGATGCGAACTTTGATAATGGCCAACGTACTAGGCGAAGGCCTAGATATTTGGATGATTACATTTGATTTGACTGTGATAGTGTTTTTAACAATTGATTGTTTTGATTTTAGATATACATTTCATTTGAGTGTACAGTTCTTTGTAGTTTCTTCACATTTTTATGGTTTTTCAATTTTGAAGATGGAAAATTTCTTTGTAATTTCCCATCTGAAAAAGGGGGGAGTAATGAGACGACCACGTCTATAACTCTGTTTTATTTTGTATGTCAATATTTATTCTTAACACTTGAGTCATTAGTGAGCAGCTGTGTAACTTTCTCTTTCTGCTGGTCTGTCAGACTGCCGGTAGTGTAGATATTTCCTCTGTATATTAGGTTATTATTATAGTGTTTTAATGCCGTAAATCTATGTAATTCTTGTTGTAAAATGATATTAGTAGTACAGGTTTATTATTTCTCCAGTTTGGCATAGCTCTGTTTTCTAGTTAGCTTGTATTTACCACTTCCGTAACTAGTCTACTTTCGCAGTTTATTTCCTGTGTGATTTCCATGTCTATTACGTGTTTGTCGATAAGATAGGATTTGTGTTGTATTTTTAGTGTCATACTAGTTATTCTTATGTATATCTAGGTATGTTTTACCCGGTTTTTAGTATCCCATTATAAGTAAATAGTTCATGACTGTGACGTCATAGACTAATTCCGTATCTTGTGTTACGTATGTATCCTACGGTATTTGTACTGTGTTTTTCATGTTTTTATTTGTTTATTGTATTTCTGATTGGAGTATTTGGTTGTATTAAGTTCTTACAGGTGTATAATTAATCTAGTTAGTTAACTTAGTTACTCTGCTGTAATTGGAACCGCAAGAAGATTATTTTGTGATCGATATCTATTGCAACTTCAGTGTCCAAGAAGCTGGCAGAAAGAACCTGAGTGGTGATATCAATTTTGGTACGCCACAATATATTATCAAAGCTGTTATTGCTTCTTTGAACAGTTACGAAATTAGTCAGTATTTTAAAAAGTAATCGAATAGCTCGCGGAGCCCCTGGGTTTCTCTTGCGGAGCCCTGGGGCTCCGTACGGAGCACTTTGAGAACCTATGGCCTAAAGTACTGACCACATGCAATGCAATGTTCAAATAGCGAGCACGATCCGGTTCGCTAATTAATTTTATTGTAAATTAGTCGTTTCCATGCCTTCAAATCTTTTTTTTGCGGATTTTTAAGCTGTCGAGTAAGCAGCAAGCACTCGGGAATGATGACGCAGTGAAACAATTTAAAAAATACCATACGATTCATTCTACTTTTCCGCTTGAGATAACATGCGGTTGTCTCTGAATCTACAGTCTATAGTCAACAGTTGATTTCCTCTACACAAGGAAGTACCATCATTATCTACATGACTGCAATCTGCACTCGAGTTTTTGGTTTACCACATTCATTGCATTTACGTCCACTTAAATACATTTTACCCAGAACATTGTGACATAGCCTACTTATGCTTGATATCAAGGTATATCATAGTATTCTACTGTTTGCAGTTGACCTTGACGATAACTTGAAATCGAGAACATTTTTTTGTGGCCGGTGTATATAGACGGGTTATATAGCCTACAGTAGTGAGATTCAGCCGGTTCGTACCGGTTCTATAGAACCGTCTCACGGAATTTTATGAGATCAGCGAACCGGTTAGCATTACTGATTACTGTCAATGTTCTGTTTGCAACAGAACCGGCTAATAAATATGACTTTCGTGAAGGAACCGGCTGACAAGAATTTGAATCCCACCACTGGTTATACATATATATATTGAAACCTATCCTATCTACATAATGAAACTAAAAGAGGGGAAAATAAAAGTATCAAAGAAAAACTCGCCAAATTAGACAAGAGTTAAAGATAGTAGGAAGGTACTAGCCCTACTAGGAAATCATAAAATAACGTGCATGAAGCAGCGAATAAATATTAATAACAAAATAAATATATACCGATCGAAAACATACGATTGGAACTAGATGAAAATCGACTAAATAATCAATCACGATTGGATAAATAAGGATTAAGCAATTAAAAATAGCGTAGTCATACAAATGGTTTTCAACCAGGATTTTGCGGAACCCCGGTGTTCGGCGTGTTCAATTCAGGGGCTCCGCAAGTTTACGTCCAAATCCAAAGGTAAACATAATCAAATATACAGGTATACTAAAGTCATATAATAAGTGCTTTCCACCAGTATTCCGTGGAAGACCTTCAGATGTTCTACGCCAAATTGTTGTTTCACGTTGCTCTTGATTGGCATATTTTATAAAAACAAATATTTATATATATATGATCAATTGCATCTCGAGCCTCTCCTTGTAACTTACTCTCTTCTGATTGCTTAGATCTCATATCTTGTTCGAGGTGTCACATACAGTTTGTTTATTCATTTGATTGTATGTCAGTTTCTTGTTGACATGAAGTGAACCTATTGATCGTTTTGTCGTATTGTTATTGTTTGTATTCTTTGTACCAAGGTATGTGAGTCGTTGATGGTACCCCCTTCGTCTTCTTGTCGTGAAAAATCGTCTTTCTCTTTAATTACTGGTTGAGGAGCATTGGTGTCACTAGAAAGCTATTGTTTTTATTTATTTTTGAAAAATCTGTAGACTCCATGGAATTTGTTTTTTACTTTAAGGTTTCATGCGATGGCATCATCAAAATAAAATTTGCGTACCGCAATCGCATTCCGATCTGACAAGTCGGGATATTTTAAATAAGGAACCGGTACTGTAAAAGATTTGATACTTAACACGTTTTGGTCTTTGTGTCTATATTTGAGCGTTACTCTCTTATTTACGTCTGCATGTATCATTTCTACCTCAATAAGTGTTAACTAATATATGCACGCTGAGAATTCGTATTTTAACCATGAGAGAGAGACACTATAGGATCACAACCAGGGTGCCAGAGTACCTCGATTCTCGAGATATTGATTCGCGAACAAATAAGATAAAAAAGTCTTCAGATCCGTTAGGTGTTAATTTCAACAACTCTCAATGCAACTAACTTAAAGAGATGGATATCATAACATGTGAACATTTAGACAACCGATTTTAGTATTCTCAGACGGAGCAATTGTTGGGATTTTAGTAGGCCGGTGAATGATTTTTCTGAATCTATTTTACGGTCTATTCTAAAGAATCTATTACCGATTATTTTAATATCTCTTTTTGACGGTGCATCCATGACGGTGTAAAAAATCGGAAATGACTCTTTGCAATAGTGTGATATCATAGTCAACTTAATTTGTCCTGATTTATATATATTTCTTGAAGCGGCTACCTTGTTTTGGTAAGAATAAATTGAGAATATGCATTCAAGTTTTAGGCAGGATCATTAGTATTCTGCGACAAATGATATTTCTGAACCCTAGCACCATTTCACCACTCCAAAGTCAATAGTGCTTTTTTGTACCCATGGAATCATAAATTGGGCTTTGTAATAATTAATAGTTTGTTTACTTCAATCAATCAATCAATGGCGCTCCGGAAGTATTCGTACCAAGATGACGCACAACCGGAAGAACCTTAACCTGATGCCCATACTATGTTCAGGTTGTGCGCCATCTTAGTATGAATACTTCGGGAGCACCCGATCAAGATAGAATATTATGGAAGTGAATATAACATAATAGGGAAAATGACCTTGACTGAAAATATGTTCAATTGGAACAACTTTCTTCGCAATTATGGCTGAAGCAAGTATCTGTTCAATCTTATTGAAACTATGCAATGAGCCTGTATCGGAGCATGAATATTGTTGGCTATATGTTTGCATGTTCACCATGTATAGATTTGGAAATGAATAAGTGCTGAGAATTATGAGAACCAAAGTGCTCAAATGCTGATTGTAAATTACGTAGATGCAAATAATCGAAGGTTCACAAGTCCATTGCGAATGTTCACAGATGCAACCAAAATGTACGTTAGCAATGCAGGCTGGTAATGGAACGGTAAGCGATCGGAATCTGAAGGTATTGCACAGGAGAATAATTACTAGACTACATTTTCACGCAAATATAAGTGACCATGGATGCAAATGTGTACAACCCAAGATATATGATCGTATATGACGTCAAATGCCATTTGTAGCATAAATATTCACCGTTAGTGCGAATACACACAGGTGATATACGCAATTATAAATTGCGCACTCGTTGATCATGGTTACAAATGTATGTAGATTGAAATGGGCTGAATCACTGAAATGAATCATGGGTGTCGAATTATTCGCGAGTGAGTGTAAAGTTATTGTGTGGATGAATCTTGTTCATAAGTGATTAAGTAATGTTTATGTATATAACTAAATGCAAAAATTACAATCGTCTGATAAAAAATTAGTGCAAAAAAGAAACCATATCTGCAAAATGAAATTCTACACCCTGAAAATTTGTCGAGTATACTTGTTTTAGCAATTTATTGCGTTGAATAATTAAGTTGATAATTATAATATAGCATATAAATATATATTCATAATATATAACATAATATGCAGATATCCGAATTTGATGAGATTTTTGCAGAAAACATATATGACATAATAGGTCAATCCTGACAAAAGATGACAGATGTAGTCTGAAATTTAACTTTGGCTACTTATTTTGCCAGTTGTAACCAATACAAAATTCTGGATGAAAGGACCGTTTTCTAAAATTAAATTAGTTGTTTAACTAAACTTTGAAATTACATTATATCGTACGGCCAATTTTATTCAATCCCATCAATGCGAAAATCGAAGAAGAAATTAATATAGAATTGGGGAGATAAAAGTAATATAAAACTATATTTAGCTAATGCTATAAATCGTTCTTATTGCCTGATAAACTTTTTGGATAACTATTATTAACAAAGGTAATGACTATATAACAGTCAAAAAGAAATATCCATCATTTAAACAACTACTCTTGATAATCTGAGACACCATTTGACACTTGTAGAGATTGAAGCCAACGCACAATGTTGTCAACGGCTTCTGTGGTGCCTTTGCAGTACTCCTGTGGAAAACTTTGAGGCAACGCAGTTGACAAACCCAAAGCTCGGCTCGCTTTGAGTGATATTCGCCCATCAAAATTAATGAAGCAAAGACGAACGGTAAATCTGTCTTCTTTATCTAGAAATGCTGGACCTCCAGCAAGAAGGGCTACCCCAGCTTCCTCGAGAATAGCATCGCACATTTGCTCTCCCGTTCTTATACCTCGCGCTTCAAATTTTTCACGATAAATTTCAAAATCAGGGAATATGTAGTAACCAGCCTGCGGATGAGATACTTTCACGCCGGCATCCAATAACGTGTTAGCGCAGTAGTTACCTACTGCTTGCAGAATGCGAGAGCAATGCTGGACATATTCACTTGCATCGTTGTCAAATCTTAGGAGTGTCTGAGCAGCATACTGAATAGGACTAGAGCAGCAGGTATAGGAATTACTTGCAAGCGCTTGGACCGCATCAAGAACGGGCCTCAATTTCTTTGGGTATAGTTGATAACCGAACCTCCAGCCACCACAGCTAGCCCATTTTGATATACCAGAGCTTAATATTGCTCGATCAGGTAGGTATTTGACGAGAGTGTTGTGGTCTGCGTCGTAGGTTAGTCTTGCGTAAATCTCGTCACACAAAACAATGATATCACATTTCTGAATGACCTTGGCTATGTCTTGTAACTCGTTTTTTGTATAGCAAGCTCCAGTAGGATTATCGGGGTTGCATAATACCAACAAACTGCCGGGAATGGCGTTGTTTAACGACGACTGTAGTAAAGACGGCGTGACCTTCCATCCATTATCGGGGGATGTCCTGATGATATGTGTGTTTCGTCCCGCAATTTGTGCCTGCGGTTTGTAAGTTGTCCATGTTGGCGACAAAAGATAAATGTCTCCACGCAAAACGTTCATAAGCAAAAAGAGCAGATCCTTCGAACCAGGGCCTATAATGACGTCGTCAGCAGTAAATCGTTCCAATCCATCTAAACGAGAGTGCAACTTGCATATCAACTCTCGCGTTTGAAGCAGACCCTTGACCGCAACGTACTCAGCTTTGTCAGCGTTTTCTCGTAGGGATCTTTGCGCTTGTTCGGGAACTGGAAATGGTGATTGGCCGAATCCTAAATGGTGTATTTTCATCCCTGCGGACTTCAATTCGTTAACCCGTTCATTAAGTTGGAGATTCAACGCGGGCTGAATATTTAAACTAGCTCGTAAAGTTTCCATGTTACGTTTACTAAGTAATGTACCTACTTTACAGATAACTGCGGAAGCCTTTTGAAATTTTGTTTGGTTTTGTACAGTAAAGGTGACATTTTCACGGTTGTAGCGTATTAAAAGCTTGGTCGCCTATGACAATGCAGGGTATTGAAATGTCTGAACTCATCCTAAGTGAGTTAGTTCTACGTGATGCAATCAATCGGAAGATTGAAATTGATTTTCGCCTCATATTGATGAACTAGCTTATCGCGTCTCAACAACAGAACTGAGAAAAACGAATGACAGTGGATTTAGATGCTTTGTAAAGCGATTTTTTTTGTCAAATATGCAGCATTAAAACGAAATTTATAACAAATGCCATTGGCCACAAAATAGCACGAATCGCGTCACCATACAGTGTGGCAATGTTTGTAAGTGGTATGAAAATTTTGAATTTGAAAAATAGTCAATTATTTGAAGAATAGGAATTAACGTTGCAAAATTTGCTTTAAAGAAAAAAAATAAACATAAAATCTGAAATTATTTTCATGATATTATCTCCAGAGTGTGGAGGTCCAAGGTAGAAAGAGTCCTATGCTCGTAGTCCTATATATTCATATTTCTGCATACAAATGCTTTTTTTAATACCATAAAGTATTCACAGTGCATTTTAATAATAAACATACTAGAGCTCAATCATGTCAGCTGTCGCTAATAATTTTGAAAGACTGCTTCCACTATATTTACTCATATAAACCTGTAGTATACATGGAAGTCATTTCAGCGTGACGCATTTAATAGTACATCTAATAATAGTTAGCTTCTGTCTGCTGCACGGTCGATTTATCATTTCAATAACGACATAACCTCAACAATATTATTTGTTAACCTAGACATTGATCCTGCAAAGTCGCGTTCTAACCGTTTGCCACGGGGAGTACGATATAAAGAACCCCTCTCAGGTCGATTTTAAATATTATCATAGCTCTCGGTCTTTACATAGTGACGCCATTGCTCAACGTTTATAACTGGTTACAACCGGCTTGGCTATTTGTAACAAATACGGTTGCTGTACCATACGTCACCGTATTTAACCTTGTGCTCTCTACGAGCAAACATCCACTTATGTGAAGAGAAATGGTGCCAACAATCAGAAGCACAGTTTGGTAATCGATTAAAGTGTTGTCAAAAAAGGATGAGCATGATTGATAACAATTTATTACAGTCCAATTAAAATGCCAAAATTTGTAAATTTAACGATTAATTAATTTCAATAAACGCATATCATAATCATAAAACGATTACGGATAAAAAGTTACGCAATGTAGCGGTTTTATATTTTATATAATTGCCTAGTCATCGATGAGCTCTTGTTTTGACATGTGTTCGAGAGGAGTTGGAACATGATGGGATTCGCCATAACTTTGGTTACAAACGGAAGTAGAAGCGGTACTGGATATTCAGAACAAGTGACATTGACTTCGACTGCCGTGATATGTATGTCGTACACACGCTGAAACATATGAGGAGTTATATAAGACAGTCCGAGATTGTCTGAAGTTTACTTCAACATGGTATTTATTACTCACTGAACGTGATTACTGAACGCGATTACTGAGTGTCACGTGGACGTATTTGTTGTGACGCATATGCGAATGTTTGCTTCAACTAGCGCAAGCTATATTTCTAATAAGCCTAAATTAGTTTTTGTATGCGCCATGACTATCCAAAATTTTTGTAATCACGCATACAAGGATATAAAATAATATGAGTTTATAACGTTTGACTATCACAATACCAACGATTTGTGAACTCAATGCACTGTTCCTATTGACACCAAATGGCCTCTTCATCCCGATAAACTGATTCCCAAATTCTGATTGGTTGAAGTTTCCCCGCCTCCCCGGTGACCACACTTCTGCGTGCTTCAATTGTATTTGCATACGCTTTTTTGCACGTGACAACGTTTAACATGGGCCAGGCGTGGCATATGTTAGATGTCTGTGCAACAACTAATTTGTAGTTTCAAACACGATCTATTACTTGAATCAAGATGCCATAAACATTAAATCAAATAATGGAGCTTCAAATATAAAATTATTTCATCGTGCTAATCAAAGTACTTAATATATACTTAAAGAGATGAGTAATATAAGCTAATAATTTCTTGCAGAAAACTCTACACCTCAATTTCGGAAGCGAGCAGAACCGATTGTTACTAGTAGATGCAAGTCTTTAGTAATGTGGTAAGGCCGAATTTCTGTACCCACATCGCTTTGGAACTTTAATAACATGCCCTTTATTTAAGGCAGTGTTTCTCAAACTGTGTGCCGTGAAGCTTTATGGAAATTTTAAAAACGAGCTGTTCGTATGAGCTGAGACTTGAGTATCCATATTTAATCACATTGATAATATTATATATAGCATTTACCTTGTCGTTGTAGTAAGGGAGATTGTTTCGGCATAAATGTATTGTGATGTCATAATGTTTTTGTAAATATGACGTCCACCTTCCACCGTGTTGACCTATCACGTTCAGTTAGGTAACAGGAAAGCAGGTTTGAACAAGTTTTGGCTATCTGCTTACAGATTATGTTTATTCATCGGTGCAAAGGCCATCAAAATATTCTAGCCATTTGCATCCCCATGGCTCTGTTAACACGTATTTTATGTTCTGACTGAAATTAAAAGCAAAAAAAGGGAGCGACGGAACCTCGTTTATATTGTTTCTCAAAACAGGCACACACATCGCATTAGCATTTGCTGAAAAATTTGTTGAAGTCCAGCTTTATTTTTTCACGAGTGTGCCGCAAGATTTTTTTTTTATTTGCTCAGTGCGCCGCGAGCAAAAAAAGTTTGAGAACTACTGATTTAAGGTTATGAACGCGGCGACCTTTTGGTATTGCATAGCATGACTACAGTTTTGTTTAAAAAGGGCGTGAAACATATAAGTTTTTATCGGGTGGTTTTATAAATATTTCTTCAAATCGCTGCTTCATAAAATTGTTGCATAAAACTGAGACATACGAGATACTATCTTAAATGGCTAACTTCTTGGTAAGTTTTTACATTAGATCGGAAGCAAATCGATTCAAATTTTGTTCCAGAAAGCTGAAGTTATTATTGAAGCAAAGTGGTGAATCTGGAACATATTTTTTCATACCTCCGACTAGCTTGTATTGTTAGAACTTAAGCACATAAATTGACATCCAATTAACAGCATATTATATTATATTGACGGTTAAAACCTGTGGCAGCATGGTATTTTCTTGCCTTATTCAATCCACTCTGCTACGTACCTATACAAAAAGTATTTATCGTCAAATCTTGAAATTCACTTTTCAATATTTGCATATGCGTGACAATGCGTTTTCTACATGTGTATTTCACCACCGAACTGTGACACCATCTTCGTCAATACCAACGAAGTGAACGCAAAATAAATCCAGCAATGGAGTTGAATTTACTATCAGTCAGGCGTGCATTTCGTTAGTTGTCAAAAATCAGAATCGTGCTTCAAAAAAACTTAAACCTTTTGTGAAAATATGGTTTCTGTCTAGTTCTTGATATTTATTAAAAACTTGACTTTGCGGGCTCTTGTCATATGGGCCGAATTCGCAAACGTTGAAGTTTGCTAAAAAAAAGCCATTAGCCATCTATTTTATTTTGCCACGTATTATTGTGACGGCATTTTTGTATTATTTACTGCTATTCTGTTAGGTTGACTGAAAAATAAATTAGACAAATTAAAAATTGAATTGATCGCAAGCGTGATTTTTTGAATGATCTGGTTCATTATATGAAACATTTAGGTTCGTTGACACCTACAATTACATCATGAAATCGATTGCACCTGTCAGGTATCAACGAAGGTGGAACTCGGCTGACAATCCGACGAAAAGCTTTTTATGCTTTTCCAAGAACACTTTAAATTCAATAAAATTTTTATCTATTTGCTTATATCCGCGTGAATGTTAGGGGTAAAGAAGAAGTGTATATGGAAATGGAATCGTCTAGTATGTTACTGAATGCAATAACGAACCACAGATCACTAAAAAAACGAGGGACAATGCTTGGTCTTATTTGGGCCTTCAAAAAGTTTGTGTACCAATATGAAGGTAACTAATTTTGTCCCCCTATTACATCAATTTGTGCAAAGGGACTGAAGCCTGTGGACAGGTAATAGAACTAAAATAACGGAAATCAGAATAAAATTATGGCCTAACCCTAACCTGGTACACACACTACGGGGGTACCCTTATTTGCACCATTATAGATTTGGTTTATATGCAGCATCAATTTTTGCATCTGCGAATAATGGTGCTATCGAAATATTTCAACAAAACTCCTGTTGCTATTGACGTGCGATTGACATCAACAATTTTCTTCTTGACAAGGGAATTATTAGGAGTATGCTTCAGTGTGGATTGTGACCACGTAAACTTGCGTTCAATAGCGCTGTTCTTGTCTACTATTTTGATTTTCAGTAATATCTCGTTGCCTTCGGCGTATCTTTGCGATAGAACTACCACGTTGTGATAATAAGTAGACAAATGATGGGCGGCCTTGCGGTTAGTATAGCACTGTAGCTATTTCTCTGGGTCGAATTTTGTCAAAAAATTTGTTGAATATGCCTCATCTAATAGTTATTATAACCTGTCCAAAAACGTTCATCCAGTCATTGAAAACAACTTAATGGGACACTTTAAACATTTCTTTATATTTGCTCATATATTTTCAAGAGTTATTTCGATGACAAATCGGTTTGTAACTGACTTACTATCTCTCAGTGGTGGTCATGTTGATCCCGTCGTTGCTGAGAAATGTATCCTTACTGAAGGAGTGGTTATTAACATAATTAAAATATTTTTCAAAACACCATTTTTAGTTTTACTAGCGAAAAACATTTTACTGATCGCTTATGTACCGACGGTGGAAATTTTATTGTCTCCAATAATTATCACAGCTTTTCCTGACCAAAATAATGAATCCGCTGGTACTTAGCAGATATTTAGACAAATTTTATACGGAAGGTTATAATTTGATTGCTATAGCGTATGTACATCCACTATTTGACTATTGGCTGTATAACCATTTCTCTGCGCGTGCATTACCGCGTGTTTTCTTTTACTCACGCAGAATATGTAATACTCGAATGCTCCACACACGCATGCTTTATTTGCCTTGTCACCTCAAATGTACGCCTCAATTTAGATGAATCTACTGGACATAGCATGTGAAGTTTTATCCTCATGTCTTGTATCCATTGGATTACTCTTCCTGTTTACTATATATTAGTAAGAGGAATATTATAACATTTGGGCCACCCGTCACTACACCCTTTCCCATACCGCTTTGCATATTAATTGTTGTGCTTCATATATATTTTCTTAAAGCTTTGAATTCGTTTGCATCTTAAGCTCTCTCCCGATAGATAATTGGATGAGGTCCAATCCTGGCAAGACTATGTATATCTGTGATATTGCTCATTGGGTTAACAAAGCTCACATCTCCACACTTGTGCCGTGAGTAGGGCTGGGAATGGTTAGGCGGTTAACCGGTTAACCGATTTCAGACGGTTAACAGTTACGATTTATTTTAACCGTTAACTGACATCTCAGGTACAAATCATCTTCATACCGTAAAATTTATTCAAATATGATTACGCCATCGCAAATTTATCTCTTGTGGCATTTAATTCAAAAGAATATTACTAACTGTGTGGGTAAGGACTCAATAAATGTGAAAATAATGGAAGTACCAAGATTGCTGATTATGGAAATTTGACAATATTGAATTCAGAATCAGTTTTCGGTCGATTTCGAAATATATTGTTCACGATTTCATTGCAAAATCGGATATTCAATGTCATACAACAAGTGCGCAGTTGATGCCGTTTTTCTTGATATGATATATATCTCGCAGTAAAATTTACACATCGAACACTGATAATTTGTCGCATAAATGACGTTCAACAACGGAATCAGGTTTTCTAAAATACTTCCACGCCCGAACCACGCTGCCTATCTCTTGCAGCAGAGCAATCATGAAACTATCTCGATTCGTGAATAATTTTAATAAGCGATACCGGGATAAGAACACGCAAAATTGCTTTATATGCATTGTGACGTAACAAGCTGAAATTATAAATTATTATGCCAAACGTCACGCAGCGGTTAACCGGTTAATTTTACCCGGTTAAGTTTAGTTTGTTTCTACTGTTGGTCCAAAGCGCATTCATATTACTGCACACTTATTCACAATTCGCGTCCGACACAGAAATTGACAGGACAAATGTCACAAGACGTAGCATTGTGTATCGTCTGGGTGCTGAGTGGCAAAGAACTTCACCCATGTTTGAAACGTCACCAGTTAACCCTTTCCATGCGATTTTATTTTTTATTAAAGAATCGTATTTGCTACGCCGATTTTATGCTTTTGTACCCCCACAACTAATCGATCGACTAACGAAAAACTAATGATCCTATGTTGCCCACTGACGGCTCGTTGGAAAGCTTATTTAAAGAACTTGCAATTGGCGATTGAAAAAACGTTTTTCTAAAAGTAGTGGTCTGAGTCACAAACCGGATAGAAAAAAGGCATTTTTTTTTCCTGGGAGTTGAAACTTCAAACCGTGATGAAAAATAGAAATATTCGCTAAATCCTTTATTGTTACATTTGTTACCGCTTCGTGGTTGGCAAACAATAGTATAATATTGCTGTAGCAATTTCGTGATCCAACTCAAAATACTTTGGTGATGGAAAGGATAATATGTCTTCTATTACCACCCAAAAAACACCGAAATTTGCATAAATTTCAAAAACACTCCCTCGTTCCGCCGCAAATAAAATTCCCATCGTAAACGAAAGCGAGATTTACCGTCGCTTATGTTAATCTCGAAGAAGACTTCTTATCAATAAACTAAAACCCGAAAAAACTAGACCAACAGTTTGCGACCGATTGCTAAATAAAACAGTGGAGTACATCAACGTACCCGCCGCAATCTAGCGACTTTTGTCGTGGGTACGTATACGTGCCCACCGCACGGAAAGGGTTAAGCGTAGAATGTCACTGCGAACCTTTCTCAACGCACACAGTTCTTCATACAATGTATCGCAGTCGAGACTTATGCCCAAGCGTTCAACAAGTGACAACAAGCCTGACTATTCAATGTCATTTCCATGAGCAAGTGAGGCTATATTGTTCTATATAGAAATACTACACACTGCAACTTTAATGACTAAATTACTCAACAAATTTCACTTGATTAAGTTTTTTAAAACTTTGTCTAACTTCTGTACTAATTTAAAAAATGAACATTCAAACCATTTTTGGTTTCATTGTTTTATTTTAAAATTAAATACATTCTTCACAGTAAAATATAGGTTGCTTCATATATAATATATATTTATATAAGGTAAAGAACAAAAGGTCCACTAGTGCTATTTTCCCAATGTATAGCTTTTTTCTCCAAAGCCATTTCTCTTCATGGTTCTCAGGGAAACCTAAATATTTTCACTTTAACATTTTTTTTATGTGAAACATAGGCTAAATATCAATTTGAGTTTATAAAAATTAATCAATCTAATCCTATCTTCATCTTTACTTTTAACCTTCTTTCTCCACTTGCATTTTACCGACATACAGCTACAGAACCGTTTTAAAACTACTTGCGTTTTTTCAAGTGATATACCAAGTTGAATGATCTGTTCAAATTAAGGTGACTGGTGTATAGAATGTTAGCATCGATTTTGCAATTTTTAACTTATTTGATTGTTATGTCATCAGGAAGCCACGATTGACGAAACATGTCTTATCCACAAATTTTGACTCACTTAAATATTTCACTCACGTAAATATATACTACTATGTAATCGCTTTTATTTTAAAAAAGTATTCACGTAAATTACATTCGTTTCTAGATTTGAACTAAGGCTACACTTTTACATGGCCTTCTGTTTCAGAACGCCTTGGTTGTCAGTAAATTCCGGGACAACTGCAGCCCAGCCCGAGACACGGGACGACAGACGTCAATTCCCGGACTTTCCCGGTCATTCCAGGACGGTTGGTAGCCTTAGTTACCTAGTATATCTTCCTCACATTCGTCCACAAATTGCTGCAGTAGTAAAGAAGCACCATGCATAACAGTGCTACTGACATTCATCATTAATATTCTATACCAAGATTATCCCTATACCTGTTACTCAAAACAGAGTATGTTGTATCAATGACATTGGTTGTATTTACATGGATAATATTCCTATTATCTTATCTTCTTCGTTTATTATTATTTTATAGCAAAATGGCTTTATGAGCAGAAAATGTTCATGTTTTGTGATAGGTGTGCCGCGAATATTTAAAGTGCTCAATAGTGCGCCGATATAAAAAAAAAAGAGTTGGGAACCTGACCTACACGAATCGCGGTGAGTGGGAGTACATTCGCACGCAAGAGAGAGAGAGAGATTTTAGTAGCAAGTGATACGAAGAGAACAATTGAACATAAATAAAAAAAAAGACCTGAAGAGCGTGGGGTAATCTGAGTAAATAAATATATTTAGATAAATAAGTTACAGTGATATCCAATGCTCACCCAACGAGCTTTTTATTTGTGATGTCACACGAGAAAAATTATCAGCTTTTGGCGGGGAAAATCCCACGTAATTCCCGGTTGGCGATCTGCCTGTATTACCGTAGTTGTTGATCAACGTGTCCTTTTCCGTAGACAGGTAGAGCGATTTAGGCATGTATAGGATATGTTTGAAACTTCTGAGTTAGTTTATGTACAAATCTCAAAGTGAGAAATTTATTGAAATTGACTTTTTATCGGAAAGGCCAAAACGGTACCGTAAGATTGAAACTGTACCGTAGTGTTCTCATAAGTTACAGCCAGACAGTCGCATGTTTGAAACATCATTTGAGTTTGATGTTTTTAAATTTCCGTCCTATGTGATTGTCTTGGCATTGGGTAGGATATTGTAATTTATTCTCTTATCTTTTTGTAAGATTTTGGTCCATGCTGCCATGCATGGATATATTAGTGTATTATAGGTTAACTTATATTATTATTATGGATCTAGGGTGGTGTAGCCAGTCTGCGGACGATTTCATTCAAACCGCTATAAAACAAAAACCAATATTTCTAACCCGTTAATTTTTTCACCGTAGGTGCATTGGCATTTATTCTACACGCTGAACTTCGAATTAACTTTCTACGACCAGGGGTTAAAGCTATACAAACCACCAAAGTACGACACTCTGAAGACGTATTTGCGACCGAACGACCAGTGTGCGACCACGGATTTCAAGCCTTGAACATCGTTTCTGCTGCGTCGAGACTAGGGCATACGCAGCCATGCGTGAAAAAATGGGCTCCTAATTGCATTTCTGACCGTCATATATTTTAAGAACACGATTATTTCAAACAAAATTCTTCAAATTATAAACAAAGCACCGCATCACAGCAATTAAACAGACAAAAACACGGTGGTCGCAAATTAGTTGACAAAGATATTATTGACGTATTGGAAATGCGCACCCCCCTACTCCCCCTCCTTTGAAGATAGAAACGCGAAACTTCAAAGATGGGTAAAAGAAACACAACTCTACCCACCTGCCAAGTTTCATCTCTTTATCTCTTATATTTGTATGGATTTTCAAGCTTTTTTGAAGGAACAATGGGTAGTTGGCAACATGGTAAAATGGTCGGTTTTTTTTCTTCGGTCAGGTTTTCGGTCATAACTTTTTTATTTGTGGCCGCATTTTAGTGTAATTTCGTAGAGCTACGAGGGATAAGTGGACGATAACGCGTGAGAAATATCGGCGCGTTTCGTTAATTTTTTCGGCATTAATTTAATCGATGAAGTTGATGGTCGCAGATAGGTCATGGCCGCAAAGTGGGTAAGCCACCCTAGTTCTCTTCCCATAAGTTAGATATTGCCAAGTTAAAATGCATTGAATTTCAACAGATTCCTCTTAGATCTGTAGATTACTGTGTTAGGTATCGACACCGTACTTCTGTACCGTAATTGTTAAAATGCGTATCACTGTTGACTTTTTGTTTGTTTGTTCATTATTGCTTCATTGCATATTGTGCACAACATCGGCAAAAGAAGCAAAGAAGGAAGCTAAAAAGAAAGATCCAAGAGATTACACTGATGCAGACATATATAAACTTGAGGAGGAGTGGACGGTACTAAATTATAAAATATTTAATAATATATAATTAAAATATAGAAGTCTAATAAGATATAGGCTATATTAAGTATCAAAATTTGGTTCTGCTCCAAATTCTTTCTTTCTGTATATTTATTATGTAATGCTTTGTATGTGAAGATACAATGTACACCCATTTTAGAAACCGGTAATGCCAAAACCTTTTTGTATGATTACGTATATTTTAGGCAGTCTCCTGTTTTAAAAAAGTAGGGGTGTCCCTTAAAATTATTTTATAATTTGCATTGCATCGACTGATTTGCCTGAAACTGAAAAGTTGGTTGATTATTAAAATCCATGTTTTTGGCCCACTCGATTTAGGCTATAGCCAGAACTCATGACAAATATTGTGCAGCTTTTTAGCCTTCACCAGAACTTGACTTTCTCTACTAAATATAGAAACTATCTTTGCATTACTTTGATATTGAAAACATGAACGTCATATCAATTGAACTTGTATTTACAGGAAGATGGAGACATTGACGAAGGAGATCTTCCAGAACATTTGAGAAAAGCGGAACCTGTGGATTTTAGCAAGGTATTTTGGATCTTCCGGAATTATTATTTTTTATGAATGTATGGAAAATCTGCTTTATATACTTGGGTAATCTCACTTAATATAATGAGTTTTACTTGCATGAAATTTGTTTTTGATGAGTGGTACTAATATGTGACACTGGTGTGATAGTCTTTTGCTTTACCCTGTACCATATGCATACCCATTTTGTAGGTTTATGGTTTTATGCTGGTACATTTTTTTAATTCCTACCTCAACATGAATTTATTTATATTCCTCTTCAATTGTACTCGAATGATTCTTTAGCAGATTATAAAAAAATGTTCAAAAGTCTTTTACCATTGAATTCAGCTAAACACAGAAGACCCAGAAAGTGTAATCAAGATGACAAAACGACACAAAACTTTAATGATGTTTGCGACAGTATCTGGTGATCCATCGCAAGATGAAACAGAAGATATTACCACTTTGTGGCAAAACTCACTGTATAACGCAAATATTGAAATTACAAGGTGGGATATGGCTGAGTTTCATTTTTGTCCATGTGCCCATTTTTTATCACTTATCAAGAGGTATAGAGTTGCTGTGGAGTCAATGAAAAAACAAGATCATCTCTTACTGTAGTACCTCGCACCTTTTTACGCACAACCTTTACACAAGCTGAATTTCTAATTATGATATTATGGAAATTGGAAGGATAGCATTCTTACAAATTTAGCATAGCTATCATATCTTGCATTTGAACCTATTCAACCACAAATAAAACAATCTGACTGACTGATGTATTCTCATTCATAATACATTCTGTAAAATGTGAAGTATGTACTGCCATTTAAATTGTTTTTTGTCGTTTATATATTGTAGCTGAATGGGTTTGTATAATTTAATACAAGTACTGCTGATGCAGCTTGTGGCAGCACAGATAGTTATATGTGAGCAATAAATTACTATCGATTCAATTTTCTCAGATTTGTCATCAGTCCAAATCGTATTTTAATCAAGCTGGTTGATGGATCATATGCTTATGAGATTAAAGATTTTTTAGTTCAACAAGAACGATGTGAATCGGTTACTATTGAGGGAAAGACTTATCCAGGAAAAGGGTAAGATTGACATTCCATTTTTGTTAGGTATTTTTAACTTAATGTGGTTAAGGGTTTCCATTTTTGACTTAAAACTTTGTATATTTTTATTGTGAGTAATCCGAATAGGATCTATTTTATCAAGCGACAAACTGAATATCCTAAATCATGGTTGTTGAACCATAACCAACTACTAAAAAAGCCTTATCTGCAACCCTCTCTTAAAAATATTATATCGTCATTTAAAATACATTGAAGTGTATATCGTAAGTGAATTGTCCCACTCAAAAAGGTAGTGTTAACTAGTTATGAATTATAATTAAGTCAGTTTGTCAGCATTCCCCTCCATATGATAGATATGAAATCCTATTTTACTTGCATAACAAGAATTTCATCATATTTTTGTTTCTCGCATTTCATAGTCTTTTTATTGCTACGACACAAAGACAGTAAAGTTTATAGTTCCTGGCACCGTTTACAGTGGAACCTTGTTACTGTCACTCCCATATCTGTTGGTACAATGGTTTTGTTAATATTACAATGCATTGCGTGACGCATGACGTGTCCATAATATAAGAAGGAATCAGTGCCTCTGAATTTTTTCATGTATTCCACTGTCAAGATGTAACAATATAAAACTCAAAATGAGAACCCATTAATAAATAAATAAATTTAATAGCTTCATCAAAGTTATTTGAGATATGATCATTATTCAATGCTCAACATACAGAAATTTGAAAAGGCAAAACTTTATAAAATTTTATTAAGGCCAGACCAGTTGGCGTAGTACTTTCTCTATAGTTTGAATAAACAGTTTTAGCCGAAGCCGAATTTTACTACCACATTGTTAAATCATATTGTGCGTGCCTAAGTAAATTCATCTTGTGAATATTACACAATAGATCTCCTGATTACAAGCAAGAAAAGCCAAAAAAAGATAAGAAGAGTGAAAAAAAGAAAGAAAAATCCAAAGATGAAAAGAAACAAAAGAAAAAGAAAGGAGAAAAGAGCAAAAAGGAAAGTAAGAAAATGAACAAGGAAGAATTGTGATATTGTCCATTCCTTATAACGATACATTATGGTGTTTTTGTACTATTTTCTTTGAAATTTTTATATTTGCCAATAGTGTCTATTAGTCAATGAAATATTGTTCCATCACACAAGACATTCCTATACTTGTAACCATCAACAAACTTGAACAAAAGAAAGATTAAGATTTAGAATAAGACGACATGTATTTGTCTGGTGTGCTGTATGTAAAACATGCAAAAAATGGCACTAGACCAGGGGCCAAAAATTTGCCCACCTGGACTGGCAGGCCATGTAAGTATGACGTAAAAGCTACATTGTTACAAAAGCAACAGTGGAAAACAATGGGCTTTGTGTCGAAACTAAATTTAACCGCAATCTCAACGTAATTCTCTGAGCTATTTTTAGCTAAAACATCAAAATTTGGTTTCAGTTTGGTTGTGGCAGCATCAGGCAGGCCAGATTGAATCACCCAACGTGCCTGATCTGGCCCGCGGGCCGTACTTTGATCATGTCTACACTAGACTGTCTCTCCATAGCGATATCATACTAATATATATTTATTAAATTTACCCAAATTTATTCATACTCGCTTGTAAACTTGTAGGCTCATAATGGAGGTTACCCCGAGAGACAGATTTATCCCAGATGGGAATATTTATGCTAGGGCAATCAGAATCTTTCATTGACTTGAAGCAAAACGGCCTTGATTAATTATAACATTTGACCTTATGTTATACCCAAGAAGAACACATGGTATTTGTGAACCTTAACCTAATTAAAGCGGAGCATAATAATGATGAAGCAATTACAATTTTCTAGAAGCATAATAATTCATCTACTAAATGATATTGTACATGTCAAACAGCATTAGACAGAAAGCTCCAATTTCCTTGCATTCTCATTCTGGCAATTGATCGATAATATTACTTTTTACATAAGAATCATGTTGACTTATTTTTATTATTTGTGGACATACTGTTTCTTTTTCGTTTATAATCGCATGCATTTGAATCAGTGTTTACTGAATTCAAGTCTAACATGTGTCATTGCTATTGACAGAATACATTGATGTGAATTTTTCATGTCAAATAATGTTAATCTGGGTTTTAGAGTTTGGCATGATTTACCAGGATACAGAGAAAATATCCACATGTTATATCCCGAGTTGAAGCAATGTGCATTGCAGAAATAAAAATTTACATTGCCTGGTCTAATAGTTTGTGCAATACATTGGCGTCAAACCGCTAGTAAATATATTTCATTTTTCATGACAATGATCGATACAGAATAAATTCATGTGATTTATAATAGATATGTTTGTGCTTAATGCTCCGGATAGAATAAGCTGTTGGATTCATATTATTACATGTGTAAAGATGATACGGTAATTCATTTCTTCCTACCCCAAAATTGAACGATGATAAGGCTATGCCATATTAGGTTATGTTATAAGCTTTCCTTTCCCTTGAGAAACGTATAATCCCATGCCGATTAAGAAAAACATATCCGAACGAACTTTAGGATCCAGTAGTTATTGTCCAGAAATAAAGGACTCCAACAGTGTCTCAGAGTCGGTGTATTAATTGAATAAAAGATTTATGTCCTCTAAAAAAGACGCCATCCCTATTCCATGTCAAAATTTGTCATTTGGTATCATTTAAAACAATCTTGACAGCAACCCTCTCAAGCTTTATGAAATAAAACATTCATAGAAGCTATCTCAGTGCTTTGTTCACTCGACAAAGTGTTTGAAACACTCCCACCTAACAAACACTAAACTTAGCAGTTTGACTTGTAGAAATGAAGGATTTTACTTTGGCAGTCTTGTTGACCATCTTATCATCAGTAATTATACATTCACAACTTCCAGTTGCCAAATCACCACCCACTACTGCAAGTTTTCTCAAATCCCAATCCTAATAAATACATAATGAAAACAATATTTCCAATAATACTTTGAAGTGCTTGTATACAAAATTGCACAGTTTGATAATTAGGTACTGCATAAGAAAAAGCTTTATCACTCCAACATTCCCAGCTGCCATCAAAATGTTAGGAAATATATCACTGGCGAGTGCTACACATTTTATACCAGAATAAATAAACGCCAGCCCGACTAATCGGCTGACATAATCATGATAACACAGTACTCAGCGCCAAGCTGTGTCCACATGCTGCTCCAGCAGCCTTGAAGAGAGCAGATAATATTGCAGTAAAAGCTTGCGATTGATGTTTTTAAATTAATCATTGATATTATAGGAAACCTATAAAATATATGAAAAAGAGAGTTTCATAGAGAGTGTAGAGTTCAGTTGGTTGATTGAGTAAAACATCTAGAACAATGGTTCTCAAAAGGTGGGGCGCGCTCCACAGAGGGGGCGTAGACAGTTTTTTTGATGGGGCGTGAAGCTGATTAAAAAATAAAAATATTTGTTAGATTTGGTCCTAGTCGCATTATTTTAGATATTTACATTTCTTTACCGTTTACATTTCCTCATAAAGTAAACATTTTTTTTTTTTCGAAGTGCTTTCGCCTTACTACCTGTTATTTGTGGCTTATTGTTAGCTAGGTATTTTTGAGGTGGGGGCCGAGACAAATTTTAAAAGGGCTTAAAAAGTTTGAGAACCACTGATCTAAGAGTCTTGTTTACACAATATGACACAGATCACCTGTGACAGGTGGTTGGTTATCATCACTTCTCTTTAGTGTGTTTAGAGTGGAATACATCAATAGTCGTTGCATGGCATGTTCTTAAGTTTAAATTATGTAATCCAATTGACAATTTATCTGCTCTTTTGAAGTAATCTAATCCTCTGCCTATTTTTATGATCCAACCATTATTGAGTCTTATTTCTCTGTCATGCAAAGAGTCAGAAAATGTGATTATGAGTGAAATGCTTCTTTTTAATAAACTGGTTCGTATATGATCAAGGTTATCAGCTTGATGATGTTGGTTCATATCTCTAGTTGTCATCAGATTAATGGTTTTCAAGTTTGTACATTTGAGAACTAGTAGCTCACACAGCTGCAAAAAGTTGTTTATCTGGAAGAAGAAATGAATTTTATATTTAAAAATCTATCTAATGGCCCTAAACATTATAATGCAAGGAACAACCTAAAGCGAGAATCGAAGATAATCAGACCCAAATAGTATATTAAGTTCTGTGTTCTACTACAATTTTATCTAACTGTACATGGCAAAAATATGAATACAAAAAAGTAAGGGTTTTGGTTCAATATCCTACTTCTGTATCAGCATAAAAATATATGGAACACATTATTGGAGCCTATCTTTATTTCTTTAAATCAATTCAAATTTATGTTGTGTAAATACTTTTATATATTTAGGCGTGATACTATATATCGAAGCAATTTGAACACTTTCACAAAGCGACAATGAAGTCCTACTAATTGGTACCTGTGGAAAATTTCTTATATAAGCATCTTCAACATGAACTTCCGTTACTGTATGATCGAGATACGATCCAAACACCTTTTCATATCCAAATCCTGTCTCATTTTCCTAAATTGTTATACATTTGTATACATACAATGAGGCAATTACCCAATGTTTTATTCATCAAATAAATAATTCATTACTGAATATTCGGTACAATTAGGTCCATTACAACCATTTCATTTTACACTTGATGAAGGAAAATTTCATTTCCTTCAAGTATATGGCTAGTCAGTATGATAACGATTTACACTTCGCATATAAGATTTACATATTCATCCTTTTTTTTACACAGCTTACTTCCAAATACGCAGCCTTTGATTTTAAATTGAGAATTAATTATGTAAGCACATTAACTAACCTAGGTACCAGTACAGAAGTAACAACAGAACATGTTCGAAATAGTGTTTTTTCAAAGGGTTGAATTTTGATAAGCTTTTAATTCAGTGACAATAAAATCAGACCTTGATATGAATCAGCTCATGATATTTGCCTTCTTCCTTTTGTCGTTTCACCATTTCCTTTATTTGTTCAGCCCGTGTCATGTATTCTGAAACCTTTTGTCTATATCTCTTCTTTTTCTCTGGATCCTGGCATGCTGTAAGTAAGTACAATAAACTACCGGTGAGGAATGATGTGACTGTGACTACTGGACTAGGCGAGGCCCCTATATCAGTATATTCCGAAATTCGTGATGTCTGTTCTGCTATGTTGCTGAGTTACAAATGGCCTAGTGGAGTAGTGGTTAAAGCGCTGGTACAGTCTGCCAGTACAGTTGTTTATCACGGTACTTAGTCTATCTTCACAAACCTACATTTTAAGACTTCCAAGAGTAAATCTATGCCTTCTTGATAGCAGGTTAACGCCGGTTGCAATCGAGCGTCTGTTTCAAGTTCGACGGCTCTCATGATAATTTTAACTGCAGACGATTCAACCCCATCCATGGCCTAATGTCAACCAATAATATATTTTTTCAACCAATTAATGTGAAACGTTTCCGGTACAGGTACAGAGTTTGCGCTGAACCGAGGAAAAAGCCTCAAAACAGAAGGCCGTCCACTAGCTAAGATTTAACTTTAAGACAACTTGGACAAACGCGTTTTTTCGACCTTTGACCTGAAATGATGGACGTACTCCCGACCCTTGACCTCTGAAAAATTATCACTGTTGTTCTAAGTTCGCAAGTTCAGAAAAGACTCAGTGGTTGATGCACACAGATTTAATACAGCATAACATAAGACTTTAACTATAACAGTAAGAACAAAACAGTACCGCACGCCAGATAAACTTTCGACGAGTGCCTGGGCGGATCGCGTACGAGGGTGGCAGTTGGTTACTTTCTCGGGACTTCTCGCGTATACAACATCTCCTCCTGGGGTTATCACGCAAAAGTTTTTGTAGAAATTTTGATTCTATATAATTTTTTAGGAATTTTGACGTTTACCGCCTGCATAAAGTGGACTTAGTTTTCTAGTTATCTATTTTCAAAAACCGCTCTGACGGAAATCGACAGCACTTCGGAAATGGCCTTTGATGACGTAGTAGTGAGAACTCGTTCAAGAACTTGCCTTCATTGCGCTTTCGCGGGTAGGGTGTTTATCTTCTGTTTTGGCGTTCAATATTAGTTCCTCATCGCGTAGTTTCATGAAGATTCTACCAGGTAAACGTAGAATAACCAGTGAGGACTTATTTTTTTATTCATTCCAAATTATTAGTGTTGCTTGCTGAACATTACTAATCTGTTTGGTGATATTATGCTGATCTCCTTTATGCCAGATCTATCAATTTAATTTGTATACTTCGTTTTCCAGTTCACACTGCTAGTAACAACACAGCTCAGCTGTCAGCGATCAACTAATTAGGCCGCGAGCCGAGGCCCTGAAAAACGCCTAGAAACTGAGTTTCGTAGCGCACATCAGGTAACTACCTGAAAATGATTTTAAAATGTTCCTTAAAAATTTAGTAACAAATATTGCCTTGTTCCCACTTCCAAAAGTTGCACGTTTTACGGAAAAGACGCTTTTACTACAAGAAATATGTGTTACGATCTGTCCTATATTCTCTATATTTTCGGCAATGAACAATGACTTCTGCATGACTTTCAATTGAATCGAATCAGCTGTTAGCGAGCGGATTAATATTAGTTATTACTGCTCGACCTTGCGTTGAGTTGGGCAGCCTTCCATAGCCCTGTTTAGTTATTATTAGTTAAGTTATGCTAAGACGTTGTTGAAAAATGTATAAGTAAGTTATTAAACACTTGTAGATCCTTACCACGGATATGGGCCGTGAGACGAAGCCTTGAAAATGAGTTTCGTAGCGCGCACATCTGGTAACTAAATAAATTCTTCAGTTTTGTGTGAAAATGAACATACTGAACGCATTACAGCTTGTTCCACAATCCTGATGCTAAATTGAATATAAGAGGTTCCCGGAAATTCAATAACCATAAGTTTACAACACATACATAAGAACTATGCAATTCGAGAGTCCTACAGCACACCAACACAAATGTATTCCTGTAATGTTTTGCCTGACCATAATCGGACTTCCTCAGTCAATCATAATTTATTAGGTAGATTACGAAAAATATGGCATACATGTAACCAACAACGAAAAATACTTTAATTGTGTGACAGGAGTCGCGAGTGACCTCGAAAGCAGCGACACCAACAACGCTGATTCACATTAGCGAATAAATTTTGTGTAATAACCACAAGCAGTTTACAACAAGAACAGCATAAAAAACTACATCCATTTTATAGAAGCTATCAAACGTATTTATTTTTAAGCAATGAAGTCACAAATTAACATCGTGAGCACGAAAACACAAATAAATCAGTTATTTCCCACTTAGAAATTTACCGGAAAAGTCAAGAAAATTAAATGAATGTACATAACATAGTGAACAGAAATATTACAATTAGTCTATTTTTAGTTTATGTGGTTATGTATTTGAACAAAGGCAATTTTATTTCTAGAAACAGGACTACGACACTAACAAATGTCCGAAACAACAAAACAAATAAATGATACTAATTAAATCAACTGCAATATCCAATTCACTTTCTTCTGAATTGTTTTCAAAATCCACTATCTCGAAAATCGACTTTTCCTCTATAAGTGTACTGTGATTTTTGCAGTCAATACAAAAACAAAAATCTGTGCAGTTTAAGTTGATTTTGGCACACTTGCATAAATTATTTTGACTATTTTTCTTACACTTGCAGTTTGCCAACTCAAAAACTGATTTGAGGGCCACATGCTCCTTCAGTGAATCATTGTTGGGTGGGAGAGTATAATCCTTATGTTTGCCAGTGTTAAATAGACGTGCCTTGGTATCATTTACATTCTTCATATCCTCTTCATACAGTGAACAAACAAATTCCTCAGCTTTATTTATTAATGCCTCGTTAATCTCAAAAGATCTTCATAGTTGAGAAAAAAATGAATTGAAAACCTCAATGAAGTCTCCAACATGAGTTTGATGGGCAGTTCCAATTGCAGAAAAGTGTCAAAGTATTCCAATATGAATAGCCCATCTAAGCTGTTTGCAACTATTATGATTCTCATATACCTCTACGCTTCAAGACTTCTTGTTTAATCCATTTTATAGCACTGATAGCAGCAGGGATTAGAGCCTGCGTTAGGTCGGATTGGTGGAACATTGCCGTTTTCTTTTGTAGTACAGTATCTAAAATGAGGAAGAAAATCATATTTGGAACAGCAGGAGTGTAAAAATACCACCAAACACTAACTAATACCTTGAATACATAATGCATTTTATCTGATGTACTCAATGAGCGTATATATGCTCATTGCATGTACTACAGTCCAGCAGTGTTTGCATACCATTACTAGACTATATCTACACTAAATTTTGATATATCACAGTCCGAAATGCCCTATGACAGTATGAGTATCAGTAGTTTATTTTTACACATGCCGAAAATACACATTATACGAATAGGATTAAGTAAAAAAAGAAAAAAATGCATTTTAGTGTGAAGGAAGACGCGATAAACCAGTAATGGTTATCGAGCAGCGTCACCTACAAGGAAGTCTAACATCAAATTTTATGAAGGAGTAAAAAGACGAACATTAAATACTAAGAGAACACGGAAATAGAATATATTCAGGCGACCCGAATATCCGAGTCTCGTTCATAACGAAGGAAGCAAGCGACTCCAGTCACAACAGGCGGGGTAACCATGTCAACCGTGTTTTATTAGATATCAGAGTGATAAACCATAGCATTATGAAGTAACTATGGATAAACGGGCTAAGAAACCACGCTTGTCAGCTACAGTAAGGGCCATTGTTTTGGGGGTAGTACCTCATTCGGAAGACATTAATAACAAACAATATTGGAATTCTACAGTGGCCTGATGACTGGGTGCTGGTGGCAAATTCATACATGAACAAAAAAAGAGATCAACTTAAAAAGGTAAACAAAATTCTGGTAAATACTAGATTATCGTTGAACCAAACATAAGTTAGATCTAGCAGAAATCCACAAACAGACTGCTGATATTATTAAAATAGGCTACTGAAGGCAATTACAATGCAATAAGAGATCTGAAATATAACTTATAATTTTAGATCATGTACCACATGGCTATTGTGGTATAATTTCAACAAAAGTGAGAGCACTTATGTTTGACTGCAGGTAACAAATGCAAAAAAAGATATTGGTTAATTCAAAACATGAACCCTCGAGTGTGACTGCACTTCCACAGATATCTGTGGATTACAGGAAGAATAGAAACAAACTCATGTGCAAAATAAAAAGTATAATAAATATAAGACATGACTATTCATTTCTCTGCATAAAATTAAACAGTCCTTGTAGAATTCAAAAAAAGCAAGCATGGAGATTCATTTCACTGTGCAATATATGAAGTAAACTAAGAAATAGACAGAAATAATCATGAATATCCATTCCACTGTGCAGTATCAAAGGTGCAGAACGAATTCAACAAGAATAAGCATGAAAATTTATTTCACTGTGCAGTATATAAAGTAGGCAACAACAAAAGAGTGAATATTCATTCCACTGGGCAATATATAAAGTACGACAAAAGTGTGACATAGAAAAATAAGCATGAAAATTTATGAGTATGGACTATAGACTATATTTTAAAACATCAACTGTCTGTCCACAACTTGATTTCTCACCTCCCAATCGTTTCCGATGCTACTTTCTTTCCACTCCGGCATAACTTATCATTGCTTCCCAGGTTCTTGTCGACTCTATAAATTTAGATTTAGACCAACCGACATTAGTAAAATTGATTATTTTCTTCTCTTTCACACAACCGTGCATCACAGAAACAGCCATTAATTTCTATTTCCAAATATGCTGTGGCCTATATAGTAGTATAAGTCTGCTGAATAGTCAAGAAGAGTCATTAAATTAATCATAAACATTTCATGCAAGCCAGAAAATATCGTTGTTTGTGACATATTATTCTACGTCTAGCCTTCCTTGGAGTTACCACACCGTACCTATTTAACAACGTCTTATGAGCTAGTGCTCAACTAAAATTGCTATTTATGGTAAGGATATACAAGTGTTTAATATATTACTTATACTTTTCAACACCTCCTTAGAATAACTGAATTAATAATAACTGAAAAAAAACTATAGAAAGGCTACTCAACGCAAAAGCGAGCAGTAGTACATCTGATATGTATCCGACCACTGGGGATCCACCTACAGCTGCCTAACTGGATTATTACGTCATGCAGAAGTCTGCGTTCATTGGCCCATGATACCGGAAAAGCAGAGAAAATAGGACAGATGGTAACACATATTTATTGTAGTAAAAGCGGCTTTTCTGTAAAACGTGCAACTTTTGGAAGTGGGAACAAGGCAATATTTGTTACTAAATTTCTAAGGAACATTTTAAATCATTTTCAGGTAGTTACCTTATGTGCGCTACGAAACTGAAAGATAGATGGCCTCGGCTCGCGGCCTATCAGTGTTAATTTTTAATACTGTCAACCTACGCTTGGCCTACCTTATGTGAAATGATAACAAGCACTGTTTGAATCACTAACATAACAAACTGTTTGGATGTGGTATATGTCACAGTTTTGAGTTACTTGGCCTCACAATATTTTTCAGCAATTATTGCAAGACTCTTCTCCATTTTTTGTGAGAGTCTACCAAATTATGCAGTAGTTCTTTTATTTCCTTCTGTATTGTGACTATATCGCTCGCTTCGTCACCACAACGTCTTTTTTTTCTTTTGTGTAAAGTGCTGCTGACTGCACATGACGCAGAAGAAGGGGCATGACAGGGAGACTGACTTTCAATGTATGAAGTGTATGGAATAGCATAACCTATGGACTGCTATTATTAAAGAAGAAAGAAGAGGCAGGTTAATTTTCACGGTGTAATTGGGGTATAATATAAAATGATATATACCAGTGTCTTGGTCTTCATGCTCTGCAAAACTATGGTTGTTGAGATGCAATTATTGGACTTGTGAAATCAAAATAAGTATGGATAAATGTTATATGTCGTTAGCAGCAATAGTGATTAACTGATATAAGATAGATAATTGGACTTGACTTACTTGATGATTCTTCGTTAGTGTCACCTGAATTGACTTGAGAACATTGCATGGAAAGTGAGGATGTTTCATCATAACCTAAAAAATAATTCATATGCTCAATAATCATTGATAGACTACAAAAGCCATATTTTTTTGTAGAACTGATTTTTGAAATTTCAACATACAAAGCCAGCTTTCGATTGCTGCAGCACCTGGTATACCCTCAACTGACTCATTTCCCATAAGGGATATTATCCTGTAGTCCATCTCTGTAGGTGGTTTTGCTGTTATTGTATCTCCTCCAGATTTTTTTAAATCTTTCCTGTACAAAGAGACCTTCTTTTTGGCATTTGACTTCATGTCGTACCACTTATGCTCTATCAGTTCTAATGCTCCCCGTAATATTGACTGAATTAACTTATGAAGAAAATAGTAAGTTTATGGTAAATGATAGGAAATTTGATTGAAAGCCTTGCTATCCTGCAATCGCACTTCGAACGTATTAATAACTGGGATCTACATTAGCAACTTTCGGAAGTTGTACACACCTTGTTCGAAATATCTTTTCATGCTGCTCTTTTGGTTTGTGCAGTAACAATCTGAGAGTAAGCCCCAAAAACTTGTTCACGGTGTTGTGCAACCCCAGAAACAAGTGCCTCAATCTCATCAGGTGAAAAGCACTTTGCCCTTTTCGTTTCCACTGACATAGAAATTACGGTACGGTACCTTATATACTAGTTACACTCGATAATCCTGAACCTGCTCTGATGAAATCATATACTCATACTGTTTCATTGAAATACTTGTATAGAGCTATACACGGACTAAATCAATGCTGCAATCAGGCATGGTACGGTACTAACATCAAATATGGAATCACAATAAACTTTGGCAACTCACTGATTTTATTGTCTGTTACACAAGTAGTTCACAATATGTAACTCCAGCATTTATTCCATGTATCCATCAGTCTATAGATTACGGCACTGCAAATTTCAAAACGCAGGCTGCAAAAGGTGAAGCAGACGGAGGTTACCGCGAAACACGTTTGACCCGTTGGTGGCGATAACTGATACGGCCGAGTGATCAGTCAGTGCATTCTGTTCAACGGCGACCATGCGTAAGATTTCGAGAGAAGCGTGTCAAGTGCTACGAGGTCTCTGGTGAATCGTATTTTACGAGATTTCGCTATCACGATTCTGAGAGACACAGTTACTTGATCGTAAACCCAGCTCTTACGAAGTTTAGTGAATAGCGCCCCTGGTGCGGTAATTATGCACTTTTGGTTTAGCAATATATGTAATGCTTTAGAAATAGCTCGGCAAAGGTAACTTTTATTGCCCTGAAAAGCAATATCATGTCTACTACGCACAAGTAAGGGATAGAATATCGATGTGATTTCAACTACACACGAATGAGGGACGTTTGGAATGTATGGTTAGCTACCTCGATACCACGGTTTGCCAGGTTTTCGTGCGCATTAAACTTTCATCAACATATACCGTACATGCTTAACGAAGAGACAATAACGCACCTTCGGGCAACTTCAACACGATTAAATATTTAATTAGACGCATTGTTAATCGGCCTATAAACGTGAAAATCTTACTATGTTGTGATGGACCAAGCTGGATCACATCCGTTCATATTGATCGAATTATCACATTACTCAAACAGTTTTATCCGTTGTTTAATTGTATCAGATTGGCAGATTTTTTCGTAGTAAGGCAGGAATGGAAAACTTTGCAGGTGAAATCATCAGAAGTAGCAAAATTAAAAAAAAGCGGGACTGTCCCGCCTAAAGCGAGACGTATGGTAAGCCTATAATAGGAAGCAAGATTTGCTAGTTATTTTTTATCTCCGCCTTCTAAAAAACTATTTTATACATTGGAAACTGAAAATACTTGAGCAATTTGTGATCGTTATGTAAATTTTCGGGCATGTGTGTCGTAATCACAGCCCAAGCATTTCGTCGACAAACATTCATACATATCTATTTTTATTCGATGCCATTCGTCGTACATAAAATAAAATTCTAGCTAAATTCGAAATATGCAATATGACATTTTCTTGCTTAGATGGTTAAGTACTTCTTTCAGATTATGAATACTTTTGTCTATGTAAATCGAGGTAACCGTAACAGAAATTTTTTTGCGTTTTGTTTGCTTGTGAAAGAATCCCAAAAGAGCAATTAAAATATATGAACCAAATGAATGAAATCTAGTGGCATCGAAATCAAGCTTATAACTCGGAAGCAATATATATATATATATATATTTTTTCATATTAGTGTCGATCTGTTTTTGGACACATTGCATTTTCCAACATTATGAAGTCATCATATAGACACACATTAAACATGATCGTGCGTAAAATGTGGAATAACAGGGATGCTATGCCAATGATTGCAGCATTGTCAAATACCAATGACAAAATGGAATATTCAAACACCACATGCATCTACATTATTCGATAAAGAAATTACAATTGGTATTGTGCTCTTCGAGTTTCAGGCTAATATTGTGTATGCATCCCATCTCCAAGATTAATATTTACAACACCACATATATTTATGTTGTCATTACGTGAAATATAAACTTTCAATTTAATGCCACTATCGCGTCGGCATTCTTTAGCAGCCATCAACATATAGCGTACAATGCTGAACAAAGAGACAGTAACGCACATTAGGGCAACTTCAGTACGATTAAATATTTATTTATTCAGTTACACGGATCGTTAACCCGACCCATAAACGTTAAAGTCAATGTTTGTCTTACGCGTATAAGGACCCAGCTGGTATCACATACGTTTATATTAATCGTATTATTATATTACTCTGACAGTTTAAAAGGTTTTTAGTTATACCAGTTGACACATTTTTTCGTAGTGAGGCATGAATGAAAAACTTTACAGGTAAAATCATCAGGTGTAGAAAAATTCATGTGTTCATTTTTATTCAATACTGTTGTTTCGAACGGAAACGTCGAACGGGACTTCCACGTTTCGGCGATTCTTAACGTTAGTTCATTTCCTTCGAGATCGAATGTGTAAATTTGATAGCCGGCCTTCGTGTTGTTGGGGCTAACGATGACGTTCTTTGCCGTTTTGTCGTGTGCATGACCGCATGGCGTCTGCCTGTCTAAGGCCGAGACTCGGGGGACCAGATTCCGTCCGATGTTTTAACATTCTCCAGCTACCACAATGTTCTAATTTATGTCAACTTCGGTATTTAAAAGCAATGAAATGTGAAATCTCATTTCGCGAAAAACTGATTTAAGCGCATTGATACATCACAATTTATATAGATAACAGCAGGCACATGATGTCGGCTACCGTGCACCTCGCTTGTTAACGTTAAACATTATTGCCGTTGAAGCTTGGACCCGACAGTAAAATGTTCGTCGTTTGCAAATTGGAGACAGCAGCTAATCAGATTGCATGGTGAGCTTGAATTTCCCGAGTATAACAATCTTGCGTAATAGGCCGTTGCTGTCTTAGTACAGATGCTTGCAACTTAATTGTATAAATAAGGGATTTCTAGTCTTGTTAAAATCAAGTCAAAAAATCTAACCTTAAATCTTGATATTGATTCTTTGTCGCGGGGTTTAATTGAAAAATAACTCTAAAATCCCATTGTGGCCTAATTATCGAAACTCTAAATTTAAAAGAACAAAGAAGCCACTAAATCAACCTTGTTTTCACGATTTGTTTACACCAATAATGTGTAATGATTTAGAAAGCTCTCGATATCTTTTACGCACTATTAAGAGATAGAACAGCTAGCAATGATTTCAACTACGAACGAGGAAGAGACATTTGTAATCTTAAGTACATCTATACCAGGTAGGTTTCCGTGCGCCTTAAGATTGGTATGTAGATAACGCAAAATAATAATAGATTTTTTTTGCAAAACATTCAGAAATGATTAATAAATATGGAATTGTTTACATTATTACTTTGTATCTTTGTATTGTTGTGTTTTGTAATTATTTATAATCTGAGATGGTTTCTGGACTTTATGAGAAGGTACAGGAATTCTTGTGAAGCAACCAGAGACATCGGGTGCGAAAAACCACACTGGTTACTTGGACATCTTCGAATATTAAAACCCACTGAAGCATCTTTCTTTTATATTAGCAAACTAACAAAAATATACCCTAAACTTTCCCCTCGATGGCTGGGACCGTTCGTCGTATATCTAGAATGCTATCACCCGGATTCTATGAAGCCAATTCTGGCTACAGATGAACCAAAGGACGAGGTTGCATATCGATTTCTTCGACCGTGGATTGGCGATGGCTTACTAACCAGTTCGGGACGTAAATGGAAAAGAAATAGACGTCTTCTGACACCGGCATTTCACTTTGGATGCCTCAAGCAATATATGACATGTATAAACAACGCTGCCTCAATAATGCTGGGTAAATGGGTTCAAAGGGCGAATAAAGCTATTTCGGTTGAAATTTCCCACGATGTTAGTTTGATGACGCTTGACAATATTCTAAGATGCATTTTATCAAAAGATTCTGGATGTCAACTCGACGAAAATAACGAGTATCTCAAAGCTGTAAAACTGTTATCGGAAGTCGCCATGATACGACTTTTTAACCCTTTGTATCATCTTGATTTTATCTTTTACTTGACCCCATTGGGACGAAGATATAAAAAAGCGTGTCAAGTAGCCCACGATTACTCCGAACGTTCCATAAACGAACGAAAAGTAGCAATGGCTGAATCAACAGGAACGCCACATGTACGGGACTTTTTGGACACGCTTTTGAGCGCGAAAGACGATGACGGAATCGGCTTATCCCACCGGGAAATATGTGATGAGGTCAACACATTTTTGTTTGAAGGCCACGACACAGTATCTAGTGGTATATCATGGGCATTTTATAACCTTGCAGCTAATCTAAAGCACCAAGAGTTGTGCAGAAAAGAGGTGTTAGAAGTTCTTAATGGAAGGAAGACAGTGGAGTGGGACGATTTGCCAAAATTTAAGTACTTGTCGATGTGTATAAAAGAAAGCATGCGTCTCAATCCGCCTGTATTTAGTATAGCAAGGACTACTTCGAAGTCTTTGTTTTGTCCCAGGGCGTTCGGATCAGACCAGTACAATACAGATCGAAAACCGAATTCGGGTTGTGAGGCATCCAGATTATTACCAAAAGATTTCAATGTCAGCCTGGGAATAATTCTTTTGCATAGAAACCCGCACATTTGGAAGAATCCTGATATGTTCGATCCTGAGCGGTTTGATCTGGAAAATATAGCTAGTCGATCATCGCATGCTTACTTACCATTTTCGTCTGGTCCCCGAAACTGCATTGGGCAAAATTTGGCAATGAATGAAATGAAAGTCGTGTTGGCACTGGCACTCTCCCAGTTTTATATAACTGTAGATGAGTTCTATCCTAGACCAGAATTTGAAATGCATGTCGTTTTGCGCCCCAAAAACGGAATTCATTTAAAACTGGACAAGATTAACTAAAGTATGGTGTTCGGCATTGAAGAAGAATATTTTCATTGTCATAAATATGTGATTATAATCCGGAGTCCTTATCAGGACTCATGAATGATTAATTTTTGTCTCTGCTTGTGGTAAGACTACTCTGTACACTGGATAATAAAATACTCGAGCAATTTGAGTTCGTTGAGGTATATCCATATAGGTATATCCATGTAATTGTGCGCGTGTTTCGTAATCACAGCTCAAGCATTCGTCGACAAGTATCAATATATCATTTTCCACTTTGTTAAATTTCATATAAATTTGATTACTTGCTTTATAATTTTTCCTTCCTGTGTACTGTGTTTAATAATGTAACCTTTTAGAACCGGCGATTTGGAGGTGAGTGTGCAAATATGGAGGTAACTAATTTTGTCCGCCACTTTACAATCAAGTTGTGTGAAAGGACTGAAACCTGGCATGGCAGGGGTTATATTCACTTGGCTAACACAGTCAGTACCCGAACTCGTAATAGAACTAAAATAGGAATAAAATTATGGTCTAACCCTAACCTGGTAGACACACCACGGGACTAGCCTACCTTAGAACCTCTCATACATACATACCTATTGTCAGTCAATGCCACACAGCATACATCGTACATAAAATACACCATAATGGTTATAGGTCAGAAATTCACAGTAGTTTAAGTATGTGTATAACAACTGACATTATGCTTTCCTAACTGCAATAACCATTTTAAGCAGCCTTCTTTAGTTATTTAGCAAGGTTTTATAAATACCTACCATTTCTCCTTTATCTCACTTGTATATTTTGACGTTCATCAACCTTTAACATAATTTGAGCACTGTCATAGATCTTGGGCATAAAAGATGATGGGAAGTTCCTAACAACCAAGCAAAACTTCAACTCATTGATGAAGCTGTCAACAAATAAAATAACTCATCTGTAATTGCGATGAGTAAATTCAGATTCAGATATTTATTTTCGTCATGCAAAAAACAATGCGCGATATGAAAAATGAATAAATAATATAATGTAACAAAATGTCAAATGGATATCGGCTTGTTGCAGTTGACGCGGAGTCGCGAAAAGACTCATAGAGTCATCTAGTCAGCGACACCTTGTAGCTGAAATTAAGCAGCAAATATAAGAAACGGGACACTCAATATTACACATCAACTTAATAAATTAACACGAAACTTAATGAATTAACACGATCATACAAAAGACAAAAAAAATAATACAAAATAAATAGAACTCAATATTACACATTGGCTTAATTGGACACAATCATTCGAAAAGTGAAAAACAACAAAAAAAAAAACCTGAGTAACTACGGGATGCCACAATCCCTGTGGAATGATTAACAAACATGAAATAGGCTATAATCATACAAGAAAAAGAGCGGCAAAACATGCGAAATAAACCACGGAATGCCACAATGACTTTGGAATAAAAAAAGATTACTTTTAAATAAAACACAAGACAGATAAAAAACATCAACAAATCGAAAATACACCACGGAATGTCATGACGGACGCAACAGCGACATCTAAATTTGGTAAAATAGCTCATCTGGCATCTTTTCGATTGGGTGAAAAGTGAGCGTTAAATGAAATCCATTAACACAAAATTTCAAATTGTTTGCAATTGTGTTTTTTGAAGGAGAAAAATTTACGACTTTTGTAAAAATTATAGAATATTACGTTTTGTGAATTCAGCTAAATTTGAACTACCGTATTTTCTCGTTTTGTAGCCCGGGCCCATATTTTTTCAACCAAACTCACTAACCGGGCCCAAGTCTCAAGTATAATTTAAACGAGAATAACGAAAATTTTGATTTTTTTCTACGCAGCGCAGGTACAAATCCTCAAAAGAAGAAAAGTTTGCAACGCCCTATCAATATTGAAACGACGCACTTGGGCGTCGCGACGCCCAGTTTGAGAACCACGGTGTTACGTAATCAATGCTATCTGTTATGTAAGGCGTGAGTGTTATCTACCAGCGCTTAAAATTCAACAGCGCTGTGACAAAAGCACTTTTTATTTTCTATTGTTCTCTACCACTGAAAAATTAGCTTTTACATTGTGCAGGTATTCAAGCACCGGCCCTTATTTATTTTTATGTTCTGTTCACACGGGCGGTTATTCAAATGGGCCCTTAATCAAGATCGGGCGGTTAAACGAGCATATACGGTATGCACTATAATAATTTTAGACGGGTAAGTTACTTCCAGCCTATACAATTTGATCGAAGTAACCGAAATAGAAAAAACTTTTACATCCTTTTTTAAGTAAAAGTATCTTACAAAAAGCAATTGCAATATGTGAACCGCAAGCATGGAATTCCAAACCTATAACGAAATCAAAGTCTCCAAATCAAGCTTATAATTTCGTACTAAACTAAGATGAGAAAAATGTGGAGCAACAGACTGACGAAGACCACAAGATTTAAAAACAACGCGAGTTACTTCATTATTTTTACCGATCCACAAAGAAAACAATATACTGACACAATAATAAAAACGCCATCAAATTTTATTCTTATCATTCACAATTAGGCATGAACCAAAAATAGGAATTCAGGTTGACGATAATAATATTTAATATGTTTTTGCTAGTCTCTACAGAAAAATTGTTAGTTGCCATGCTGGGAGATTTCTTCCTTTTTGTATTTTAGACTAGCATTGTCTTCTGTATGCATCGCTTCTCTAACATTTATATTCTATATATATATATAAATATGCCAAATTATCTCTGTATCTTATTATTACGAGACTATCTTAATATTGCTATGCTTCAGTAGACCGAAAGCTGTCATCGATACGTACATGCCTAAATAAGGGACAGGGCAGCGCGGCTTTGATCAAAATCAGCACGATTATCTATTTATTCCCACGCATCGTTAACTCGGCATATCACCGTACTCGACGTTGTATGCTTTCTATTTGTTGTGATCGATCTAGCTGATGTCATCTCCATGCATTTTGATCAATTATTACTTCCTTTTTTACATTGATAGTTGTTTAGTGGTACTAGATTGGCATTTTTTGTAGTAAGGTAGAAATGGAAGATTTAACAAGCGAAATCAACAGTTCAGATGTCCTTTTAATGTTTAAAATTGTTGTTTCAACCAATATAGGGCAGTTTATACCACCATATGTCAAAATTTAGAAAGCGCTCGGACAAAAGTAACTTTTATTGCACTCGGTAGCAATATAGAATTCAACCACACGACGACTACCAGGGACATTTGAAATTTTTCGTTAGCTCACCACGACTCTTTGTTATAAGGTTTTCGTCCACATTAATATTGGTTTGTAAGTAACAGTCATAGGTAATAAATATTAATAATAAGTATTCAGATGGAAATGTATACATTCTTACTTTGTATCGTCGCGTTGATGTTCTTCGTATTTTTTTATAATCTGAGATGGTTTCTGGACTTTATGAGAAGGTACAGGAATTCTTGTGAAGCAACCAGAGACATCGGGTGCGAAAAACCACACTGGTTACTTGGACATCTTCAGAAATTAAAACCAACTGAGGCTTCAATTTATTATGCTGCCAAACTAACGCAGATATACCCTAAACTTACTCTTCGATGGTTTGGACCATTTGTCGTATATTTAGAATGTTATCACCCGCACTCCATAAAGCCAATTCTGGCAACAGATGAACCAAAGGACGAGGTTGCGTACCGATTTCTTCGGCCATGGATTGGCGATGGCTTACTCACAAGTTCGGGGCGTAAATGGAATAGAAATAGACGTCTTCTGACGCCAGCATTTAACTTTGGAGCCCTCAATCAATACATGACGTGTATAAACAGCTCTGTCTCAATAATGTTGGGTAAATGGCTTAAAAAGGCGGTAAAAGGTACTTCGGTAGAAGTTTCTCACGATGTTAGTTTGATGACGCTTGACAATATTATAAGGTGTATTTTATCAAAAGATTCTGGTTGTCAACTCGACGAAAATAACGAGTATCTTAAAGCTGTAAAATTGTTATCGGAGGTCGCCATGATACGGCTTTTCAACCCTTTGTATCATATTGACTTCATTTTTTACTTGACCTCATTGGGACGAAGATATAAAAAAGCGTGTCAAGTAGCCCACGATTATTCGGAACGTAGCATAAACGAACGAAGAGCGGCAATGGCTGAATCAACAGAAACACCTCAAGTACGGGACTTTCTGGGTACGCTTTTGACCGCAAAAGATGACAACGAAATCGGCTTGTCCCACCAGGAAATATGTGATGAGGTCAACACATTTTTGTTTGGAGGCCACGACACTGTATCTATCGGTATTTCGTGGGCATTTTATAATCTTGCAACCAATCTAAAGCACCAAGAGTTGTGTAGAAAAGAAGTGTTGGAAGTTCTTAACGGAAGGAAGACAGTGGAGTGGGACGATTTGCCAAAATTAAAGTACCTGACGATGTGTATAAAAGAAAGCCTGCGACTCAACCCGTCTGTATTTAGTATAGCTAGAAAAACTTCGAAGCCTCTGTTCTGTCCCAGGGCGTTCGGATCAGATCAGTACACTCTAAAAAATATTAACTCAAATTTGACTCAACGAGCCTCCTACTCTTTCAAAGAGTCAAGAAATATTTGACTCTTTACTTGAGTCACGCACATGACTCTTCTTTGAGTCAAATTTATCCCTTGATTGAGTCGTCAAAAGAGTCACGCACAATGACTCTTTTTCGAGTCAAATTTCCGCTTCGATAGAGTCGTCAAGAGTCATGTGCGATGACTCTTTTTTGAGTCAAATTTATCCCTTGATAGAGTCGTCAAGATCATTTGCGATGGCTCTTTTTTGAGTAAGTTTACAACTCGATAGAGTCACCAAAAAGTGAGTTATTGGTTTCCTCTCCAATTCCCCCAGCCCCATTTCAACTTTCTTAAGTTACCCATGCATTTACCAAAAAAGCAGAAATTAAATATACCAAATTTTTCTTGGAAAAGAACTTCAAAAACACTCAAGTGTGAGCGCATCTGCATTTTCGGTGATCGCTAATTGTGTTGCTATATAAGGGTATAAACAGCAACACAATAAACAATCACCGAAGATGCAGACTAAACCACAATCACCAATGAACAAAAGAAAATGAAATAAATTTCACAGAAAGAAATCATAATGAAAATTATGACCCCAGTGTTTGCTCACATCGACGACTCAAAACTGCAGTGGCCCATGTCAAATTTTGGCGATATGAGACAATCGCTTTAGAAAGTTCCGAAAAAAAATCTCATTTTGAGATGAACATCGGGCTATAAAATCTGCATTTTTGAACGCTAAAAAGAGACAATGCATAATTCGTGTATACATATCGATTTTTTATAAAGTGTATAAACTAACAAGTCGTACTCTGACATGATGGTTTAACATAGGGCCAAATCAGTATAAAAACAAAATAAACAAAGTGGACACACAAAAATTACAAAGGGTGGCATCAGCACATTTTCATTTTGAGCCGTCTATGTAGGATCATTTTTTTTTTTTTACACAAAGTCCAATGCAGCCAACAATGAGGCCACTGAAGGTTTGGGATCCATGCCGAAAAGAATAGCTTCAAAAAAATTGAAGAAAGTTGCCAGTTTTTCATAGTACTCAATTCCAAAAATCCAAAACGAAGCGAACAGTCTATAAAAAGCCAGCAATGATGAATTTCCAACTGGCACCACTTTCTTGTCAAGAATTAAGAAGAATTCCTCAGTATGAGATTTCGGACCAATGACCAATCAAAATGGCTGTCTCAATGATGGAGGCTTGGTTTCAGCATAATATCCAACGTTGCAGCCGGCCTGAATAAAAAAGAATGAATAAGTTTCCAAACGATGTCATCACTTTGAAAACTCATTCAGAAACATGTCACGTTGCATCTGCTATGGTATTTTGCAAACAAGTTAGGAAACAGAGTACGCACCCCTTAAAACTCAAATAATGCCCACTGCTCTTGTCCTTTCCTCCCCTTTGTGTTGAGAGGTGGCAAAATCTTCGATAGAACTAGAAGACTCTTTAGTCCATCTAAAATGTGTCAAGTACTCTAAATATGCTCTCACACAAAATACATAGATATAATTAAGCTATTTCACTGCCGCCCAGTTGGAAATGTGGCAGAGATAGTTCTAAGTCAACCAGTATTTATACATAAAATATCAGTAATATAAAGCATAAAGCACATACCATCATCACACTGAACACAATCCTGATCCATTTTAAGAATTTTTTGAATGAGTGGTGGAAAAATTTTCATAAACTTCTTACACTCCGGGTAATTCATCTCAAATTCACAGTCAATCTGAGTCCACAAGAAGCACATGTAAAAAAAAAGATGCTTTCTATATCCGTACTTCTTAAAAATATCTTGATGTGATGAATACAAGGGGCTCCTGAAGAATGCGAACCAAGATGGCGGACATCGGAATGTAATATGTGTACTAGGTTAGAGTTAGGCCATAATTTTAGGTACAAATACTACGGAAGGACTTGGAAGAACTCATAATAGGACTAAGATAACGAAAATTGGAATAAAATTATGGCCCAACCCTAACCTGTTACCCATGCTACGTTCCGATGTCCGCCATCTTGGTTCGCATACTTCAGGAGCACCGAATACAATAATAAACAGCCTATGTACATTGCACTTTACATCTAGATTTATTGCTAACTTACCAATCCACCCTCATAAGCATCACAGAACCTTGGGTACTTTTCTAAAATGTCAGTTAAGGTCATAGGCTTCAGCTGTATTTCAAGCCTACGATAGTCATGACTTTCCTTCATTATGTTATATATTTCTGCCTTATTGTCCTTGTTAGGTGTGGTTTCTTTCAGCCATTTAATCTGAAAAGCAATATGCATATAAAATATTCCAATAAAATACTAGCTGCGGAGAAATAAAAATTACCACCTATAAAAAATAAGAAATTTCCCACCTTTTTCAGTATAGGGCTATCGTCTTCCAGAAGTGAGGCATCCAGTTCAACAGTACTCCCACTGGTGTCAGCATCTTCGCTACTCTCAAAACTGGAACTACTTGCATATGTTGAGTGGCTTCTCTTTTGTTTTTTATACATCTTATCTTCTATTGCCATTTGTTTTCGTAAAGTTTTGAGCTTGTTTTCTATAAAGCCGGAACCACGAAGAGGATCATAATAATGGCCCTAAAAACATTTTTAGCAATTTAACAATAACAACAAATGAGCCCTAATGACAAAGCTGACAATTTAACACTGCAATGAGTTATCGGTAACTGTTTAAGAAAGAAAGAGATGGCAGACTGACATAGGCTAGTTGTACTGACTTATAGACCATGTAACTTGAGCTGGAACAGCATGTAGCCTACTTCAGACATAAAGTTAACTTAACAGTCAGACAATAGGCCTACCGGTAGCTTAGGCCGGCAGATCTAACTTGGCTCAGTAGCCAGTTGTGCTATACTGCAGTTCATGCTCATTTCGATAATCTTATTTGAATCCACTGCTAGCAATCACTTACCGACAACGGACAACCGCTCCAAAGCTGTTAGCACTGTCAGAATGTAGCAGGTGAAAGCTAAAATCCATCTGTCATAACAGCAATTCACTTTGTAATCCACTTGTAAAAAAACAACGACCTAGCCTACCCCATCCAACTGTCCTATTGGCCTCTCACGCAAAATAAAAATCCCAGCATAATATATTTAACCGTAACTGATAGGCGACGCAAGTTGCGAGTGGCCATGCTGCATGATAACCTCCGGCCGAAACAACAGCCGTCGACAACGCGAGAGGAGAAATGACGATTTCCCCGCCAATTCTACGCTTCGCCGGTTCCAACTTTAAAAAATATACAGAGAAATTAGCGGCGAGAGAAAGAAGGCGGTCGTCAAACGAGAGAATATTTGACTCAAAAACGAGTGAGAGTGCAAGAGAAATGACGCTCGAGTCACGATTGAGTCATTTTGTTCCTAACTCTTTCGAATTAGTCACGCGATTGACTCAAGTTTTTTTAGAGTGTACAATACAGATCCAAAATCGAATCCGGGTTGTGAAGCATCCAGATTATTACCGAAAGATTTTAATGTAAGCCTGGGAATAATTCTTTTGCATCGCAATCCGCACATTTGGAAGGATCCAGATACATTTTATCCTGAGCGATTTAATCCCGAAAATATAGCTAATCGATCATCCCATGCCTATTTGCCGTTTTCGTCTGGTCCGCGAAACTGCATGGGGAAAAAATTGGCGATGAACATAATGAAAGTCGTGTTGGCACTGGCACTCTCCCAATTTAGAATAACTGTAGATGAGTTGTATCCCAAACCAGAATTTGAATTGCATCTCCTTCTGCGTCCTAAAAACGGAATTCATTTGAAACTGGAAAAAATGACTAATGTATGATATATACTGAGTATTGAAATGTAATATAGTTCATTGCGAAATATACGTGACTATAATCCACAGTTCTCAACAGAAATCATGGCTGATTACAAAATTAGTTATCTGTCTATATCTGCTCGTTGACTACTATATACAATGGAGACCAAAATAGCAATTCGAGTTCGTTAGGTATATTTTTATGCATGCATTTCGAAATTGCAACCCAAGCATTTCGTATCATAGACTGGTTATAAAATATATCAATGCTTCTCTCTAGCAAATGCAAATTGAGAAAAATTTTCTATTACAAATGCTGAAGTGACTATCTTTATATTTGTTCATTCATGCGTGCCATACTTTGTAATGCAATGATATAATATGCAATATACCCTTATCACTAACTTCCATACATACTTACTGAAACTGCCTCTTTCCGTTAACCGATTTTATCACCTTAAAAGAAATGGTTTCGTCCACGATTTTACCAATTGTGACTTCATAATATCTTGCGCGCTTTTGCAAATCGTTATGCTTCTGAAACATTGATTCGACCTTTTCCGGATTTCGGGATTGCGAATTTGCAGTTCAAGGTTTTAAATGTCTTTTTGATATAATTATAATTAACAATAATATATAATCAACTAAATATACTGAACTGTTCCCCATGGCGATTGTTTGTAAGCTACATTGTCATTTTCGTGTTTAAGTTTATTAATTTTATATTTCGCCCGTATAGTTTTTTTTGAATGATTATTTTTGTTACCAGTCGTTAACTTTTATTTTAATGCGTTTTTAATAATTTATTTTGGCAGTGGATATGACAAGTGTAATTGGTGTAATACATCATCAATTATAACATATTCTCGCAATGATTTATCTTGTATGCACATGTTAACAAATTATTAGCAATGTAGCATAAACAAGTACAACGACATACCCAATTAAAATCAGAAAAACTAGAACATATGGATAAACGCAACTGAAGCCATCAGTATAAATAAACACGACAATCAACCAAGATTATATACCGCAGAAGAACAACTAGTTTGAGACAGTATATATAATAATGTGAATTAGTTAGAAGTAAGGATGAATTCATGGCTCCTATCGCCGTATGAATCGCTCTCTTCGTGGAAATTTCATGGATTATAAGAAAAATATTATTTTTTCGGTTCCAAATTACCTTTGTTAATAAATCAAAGTTAGCTTAGTCATTATTTCACAAACTATCCAGGTTGGTTGAACTATTTGGTGAATATTGAATAAATAAACAAAGTTTTGAAATCGTTAATTTAACAACATTACTTACGAAAAAGAACATACTATAACATTTTCAAAACGTTTTATCTCCTATCATGTTTCGTGTATTGCAATAAATCTTCTTTAAAACCCTACCCAGCCGGTTGGTCTGGTGCCATTTTACATGGGTTATTTTTTTGTCAATTATTAGGCCCTGAAGCTTCACTCGTAGCTTTTTAATAGCGTGGGATAAAGCTCTATTTAGCAATATATGTAAAACGCACTCCTCTAGAAAAAAAATTTTTTACGCCAAAATTCCAAAATTTCTGTTGAACTTGCGAGATTTTGTGTCTAGTAGTGGGTTAATAATTATTCCCAAATAATTAATTTTTATTTCAACGTTTTATTGTGTTATTTTCCAACAGAACAACACCAAAACCACTATTATAGCAAGAATGGTTACTCTAAAATTCACGATTGTATTTACAGAATTTTAAAGTTCGAGGCTTCAATTGACAATTTTGATGACGTCACACCTCTAATTATTAGTGCACACGACGTAAACATTCTAATGCGCGCCGCTACGCGTGAAAATTACCGTTAATTTTACGTTTTTTTTCACGTTTAAAAAATCTCGATACCTCTACCAAGTATGGTGCAGTCGAAATCATATTTATCAAAACATCACAGCGCCAGGGATGATATGTATGACTGATACATATCATCAAATACATGCTAAACCAGTGCTCTTCAACAGGGGTTCCGCAACACATGCAGTGGGGTTCCGTGAGTTTATAGAGTTCCTTAGGGGTTCCGCGTAAAAGTAAAAAAGTGACTGCTGGGCCAGTAAAGTTGCAAAAAATGATTATTCTTCTTTTCCGTTTTTGGATGAATTTCCGAGTGCGCAACAGCAAGAAGGACTCTTAGATATCCGTAATGATATTGATTTGGAGGAAACCTTTGAAAAACATGACGGAAGGATAAGTGAAGACATGAGTATGAGAATTGCTCCGAGCGCCGTGGAGCCTCGATTCAAGAAGATTGCAAAGGAAAAGCGAGAACAACCCAGTCATTGAAGTTCACGCTTGTTACCTTCTTTCTGTTTCGTTGTTGAAGTAAAAATAATTGAATTACAAATATTTCGTGGTACGAGTATTTCGTGTTTTATTTTTGTTATTTGGGGTTCCATAAAAAACGAAAAATGATATCAGGGGTTCCGCAATAACAAAAAGAGTGAAGAGCACTGTGCCGTTTGTGCTAAACCAATAATAAGTCATTATAATGGAGTTAATGTTATTGATTTCCTGTGTGAGTCTTTTTTTTTTCACGGATCAGAGTTTTTCCAGTCTCGGATCAGTGTCTTAAAGACAGATCATATCCGAGTCATATCGGTGTAACGCTTCATAAGCATGCCACTGCGTAAGCAGCAGTCATACAATTATGGAGGTTTCGGTATTAGCCGCGCCATTGCAAGACACAGACTTTCACCCGGGTTTCTGTATATGCTGTATGTCACAGCATAACTTCCGCCCAGGGCTTCCGTCCATGTCATGCAGGGCACAGCACAACTTCCGCCTCCCCGGCTTCCGTACATACTGTGTCAAACGTTTAACACGCACACAGCATGACATCCACCGTGACAGGGTTGCCAACTTTGTGTTGAACCATTCCGCGATATCTTAATATCTAGAATTTGAAAAATGATGCAACAGATGCTTGTGAAACACGAAGAACGTCAAAAGCAACAGTGCGCGTCTTGCAGCGTTATTTTCCAAACTGTAAATAAATTTATGATAATCAACGAAAGTTGTGAAATGAAATTGATATTTTAACGCATAAATGCAAAATAAACTAAAACAAGGAAACGTACTATTTTCGCTAAGTAGATTTAATTATTTAACAAAAAACACAAGAAATTAATCTTTCTGGTATTTAAATTTTTATTGTGATTTTGCCGATTTAAGAAGATCTATGTCAGTTTTCACAAAGTTTATTTTAAAATATGTAATCCTTACGGAAATATAACAAATTATCATCTCTCGCTAAGACAAGAGCTGTCAGCAAGGCGTCCTGAAACTGACGGCTGTGCGAGCCTGGAAACTGACTGAATAATGAAATCCTGGTAATAAAAGAGCCTCACGCTAACAGTGCATTATAAACTAAAAACAAGAAATACAAAATATTGCTACACGCCACAACTTCATCAACTAAATTTTTCAACAAATCTCACTGGATTAAGTTTTTGATCCACTCAAATTAAGGTGACTGCTGTATATAATGTTATCATCCATTTGAAATTGTCAGCATATTTTACTGTTATGTCATCAGGAGGTCACGGTTGACGAAACATGTCTAATCCACAAATTTCAAATCACTCCTATTTGAATAAACCATATAGACGCACACGTTTTTATTGAATATGTGTTTGCGTGAATTTCCGTTTTGGTCATCTATTTCAGAACGCCTTGATTGTCTTTAAATTCCGGAACAATCGCAGTCCAGCCCGGGACACACATTCCAGTACTGTCTCGGCCATTCTGGGACGGTTGGCAGCCCTAACCGTGAAGCTTCCGACTCATCATTTCCGCGAATTTGGAGATGGTCTTTCTAATTTTTAAACTCCCATTTATGGGAGGTGGGGGTACGGCGTCATTTGTAAAATAGTCAAAGTAGATTAATCAATTTGTAACATATCCATTTAGAATATGTTTCCAATTTTTTCTGATGCCGAATATTTCCAGGTTTTCGAATTTAGTCTCGAGTAGGGTGAAAAATTCTGTCAGGTTATTTAGGGTTTGTTCCAAAATATTATTATCCAAATACCTGCTCGAATACCTGTCCTCAATGTCTAGCTTTATTTTTCTTTTTATTATATTGCTCTTCATGATAGTGAATCGTTTAATGACTAGAAGTTTTTGTGGGCCGTCTTAACTATTTCCCATGATTTCCTGTCTTGAGATTGTAAAATTTGTATCACATATTCCGTTAATTGCTTCCGTGGTTTCTGTGATGTAGGTGGCAGTTTGACTGCAGTGGAGGAATAGGTGCTTGGCCCTGTCTGTTGGTAATTTGCAAAATTTGCAGTTCATGATCTTGATACCGCCAGATGGTTTGAATCTAATACCCATCCCTCTCATCTTATCTCCGGTATTCTTCCTGATATATTCGGTAGGATACTACTCTTTCGCTGTTGGTGAAACTAGATCGAAATTTCCTCGCGCGGAGATGGACTTTATTCTAGTTAGGATCATTTTGCTGTTCTACGTGGCTTCTTTTTAATTTGTGATACAAGTTTATGCTGTGCGGTTTCCCACTCATCTCGAGAAAAGTCAACTTCCTTAAAAATGTCCAAAATGTGGGTCCAATGTTTTGGGGCAATTCCGCTATGGGGCATTGAATTACTATAAAGGTTTTTGTTGACAAATTTAATTTTGGATCCTAACGAAAACAACGCTTCTACTTGCCAAAATTGGTTTTGGGTGCGGCCATGTACAATTTGTTTAATTTTTTCTACTTTGCAAGCTTTAATCTTCGCGGTTAGATCAATCATATTGATCCCTCCCTTATCCCACGCTTTTTGTAAAATTTTTCTACCTATGGCTTCGATTCTTTCCGGATACCAGAGGAATTTATAACAAGCACTCTGAATCTTATTGACCGTTTTCTGTGGGACATCTTTTACTCTTGCATGGAATATAATTACCGACATTAATATTGAATTTATAATAATCTGTTTTCCATTCCAAGTTAATTTACGTAATTTAATATAATTTAGTGTCCGAATTAATTTGTTGACGATCTCATTCCACATTTTGTCCAGACCTATTTCTCCAAATTGTATGCCCAGGATTTTGGTGTTTTTCTTTATACATGTCCGATATGGGGAGGTATAGATTAATTGGTGAGAGGTTTTTATGAGGCACATTATTTCTGTCTTTTCGATGTTTGTTTTTTGACCAGTTGCTATTTCGAATCGATTTAGTTCCCTGAATATTTCGCTAACTGATGCATAGTCGCGAACTGCGAAGGTCACATCGTCGGCGTATTGATCCAGTTTGTGCTCGAAAATTCCTAATTTTATTCCACGTATACCACTATTGAGTACAACCGATCTGGCGAACGGCTCAGTATTCAAGGCGTATCAGAGCATGCTGATCGGGCGGCCTTGCTTAATTCCCCTTCGAATTATTATTTCATTCGATAGCCTCCTGTTTACATCCACCTTGCTACTGATTCCTGTATACATGTCTTTTAATAAATTAAAGACCCTATTTCCGATTCCAATTTTTTGCAGAATTTTAAACAGAAAACCATGGTTGACCCTGTCGAAAGCTTTTAGAATATCAATTAGAATTATTGTCCCGGGGATATTTTTCATTTTGCAGTGTCTTATGATCGCATCGGTATTGTAGTGCACGTCTTCAATACTCTTCAGGGGAAGTGAACATTTTTGTGTTTTGCTTATGATATTATCCAGAATCGGCACGAGGCGCTTAACCAGAATTCTCGTAATAATTTTATAGTCTGTATTTGAAGTAGTTATTGGTCGCCAATTTTTGAGTAATCTTTCGTCGACTTTCTTGTATATGAGTTTAACTTTTGCTGTTTTGGCAGAATTT